CAAAGACAGGGAGGAGAGAGAGAATATGTGAGCGCAGAGGGTGGTAGAGAATTCCGAGAAGAGAGAGCATAGCAGATCAACGCAGCAACGCAGACAAGACATCGATCGGTGGGCGGACCATGTTATGTTTGGTGGAGTCTGTTAGAAGTTCCATGGCGCCTAGGGTCCTAGTGACGCGTTTCGATGTAGAAAGGTGGCGCTACCTTTGCACTTGCGTGCCCAGCACTTCTAGCCATGGTAAGGGCTTCTTAGGTGGGTCTGAGCCCGAACTTTGCCTTTAAGGTAGATAGAGAAAAGATATATCGTGGTTCTTTTTATACCTCGTTCTCCGGGCCTACTCATGTACGAACTTTTAACAAGCACGTTAGCGTTTCGTCAATTAAAAAACACATAAGTTGATTCAAGCGTTAAACCTTTCAAATTTCGCCACAACCTAAAAGCGGCTCAAAAGTTTATGCTGCTTGCAAGCTTCAAGGTCCTTGATTCATGACGACATCGAACTCGTTCGAGCTTGCCTTCAAGTCGGCACCCTTCATCCACCCGGCTTGGAGACATCCATACGTGCCACTTTAAAGGCAGAAATCACGATGAAAAGTTAGCTCATTGGAAATAAGGGTAGAGGTGGTCAGTGGAGCAGGGATGAAGAAGAAACCATTGAAACGGCCCGAAACCCGAGAAATGGGACCCCTTCCTTGCCCGTTGATTTGCGCATTGATGCGACTCTCATCGTTGTGCCCTCTTCAACGCTACGCTCTCTCTGCTATCTAATCACTCGCCGCGTATAGACCTGCAGACAGTCGGTGGGCGTACCCCGCCAACCGCGCCAAGAGTGAGCCATGCTAGATCGCCGAGGTCAAATCTTTCGCTGCCAATTGCGCGTCGGTCAGCACCCTCAGGAGGTCCGCCTGTCTCCCAACTAGCAATTTCCCTTTCTTTGACCTTCGTTCTTATCGTGAATCCTCCTTTAAGAACTCGAAAAGAACGGGCCACATGGCCATCACAACATCGAGTCTTCACGCTTCCTCAAGCCTATGAAGGAGATCATGAAAAAAACAGGAAGAAATTCACTGAGAACATCAGCACGCCGAAGAGATCTCGTTCTAGAAAGACCAGGCAAAAGGTTTCTCTGGGTTAGGTGGGAAAATGAACTACTGGGGCGGTGAATACGTGTACTAAAATGTGTTGTCTGAGTTGTCGTGTACATTTACATCTTCTCCCCCTCTCCCTCCCACCTGCTCCACGACCATTCGAAGAAGCTTTTGAAACAGAGTTGAAGTCTGCGATGTTGAACTAGGTTCGAGTATACACCACTGCTATTGAGCAGAATGGGTCGTAGACTCGACTTAAATGGCGCGCTCAGTACAGCTGCGGTGCGCTTTTACTCCCAATACTTTTAACGCTAAAGTGTCAAATTTATTGACTTCTAACATGGGTATTTCCACTTGCAGAATAACCAACACATTTAACATGTGCCGATCTCGATTCAGAAAGTTGCGTAACTGCTCGAAGCCGACGGGCATTCTACAGATTGCCTGAGAGCGTCTGCGAAGACGGCCAATCTATGTCTTGATACCGATGAAGCAAACAAACAAGCTCTTCCTTCTTTTCATCAGAGAACATTTCTGGTATAATTCGCCAAGAGGCATACGTGCATTTCCTTACCTTATTCTTGACATGATGAAAAACAAGGTGTTCGATGAAAAAACCTCTTCATCGTTAATGATCTCTCTGCTAGGTGGCTAGAACCAAACGGCAAGTATGGGCGGTGAGCGGC